CAGGACACAGAGTGCGGGAAAGTGGACACAAGGGTAAGAGGTCAGGGGGAAGAATTCCTGCCCTTGCCCAGCATGTCCTCACCCTCCCAGAGCTGGCAACAGTGGCCACTTTTGCCATCCTCATTGCAATTCGATTGGAAGATGGGGAGACTGAGTTACAGAGAGGACATGGGGCTGGACAGAGTCTGAGTCTTAGTTTTCAAATACCTCATGGTCACGGGGGAGAGTACTAATCCCACACTCGCTTCCTTCATCCAGTATTTCTTTTCGAGGTCAGTTAAATTTGCTGCTAACTCATTTCTTTTGTTAACCCCGTGAAGTTGCTGTTTCCCAGCGACCAAATCTTCCTGTCACGGGTGCCACTCGCAGCAATCTGCAGCCCCCCAGGAAAGTGGCAGTCCCAGGACCTACCAGGTCAGTCTGGTCCTCCCTTGGCCATCCTGTCTCCCTACCCTGCCATCATCTGTGATTCCAAGCTCTTATGCGCATCAGCCTTGAATTTTATATGGCAAAATGGAGAGAGGAGGGGAGCCTGGGGCAGGGGAAGGGGGATCCCATTTTTTCCCACCCTGAGGAGCTTGAACTCTGCTGGGTGACAAACGGGCTTGAGGAAGAAGGGCATTTTAAAGCAGTTATTCATTCTATCTCTTTAGGTAAAGAGATCAGGACAGCAAGCAAGACTTCAGTAGCAAACCACTACAGTCAGTACCTGGACTTGCCTCTACCTGGCAGACCCTGACGCCAGCAGATTCTGGCCCAGGGACAGGAGGAAGAGATGCCACCAGGGCTGGTCTCCCAGGAGGAGAGACCATGGGAAATGGGGTGGATTAGGATTGAGCTGGAGAAGTCTTAAACTCTCTGGGTTGAAAGAAGATTAGGGGAAAAGAGGTCACCTTCCAGCAGTGAAATGAACAAACAGAAAATGAGAAGTACAGGCCAGTGGTTTGTCTTTATCCACCCCCACAGTTGTGGTCAGCCCCAGAGAATTTGATCTTCTTCCCCGGCATTGGTTCACTGGACATTTCCATATGAGTGGCCTCCGTCGCTAACCTCCCTGCCGTCTGAGGAGCCGTCATCCTGAATTGCATTCTCTACTGGACTCCGGCCTGCTTGGAGAGGTGGCAGCAGGTACCTGGACTTCAGAAATTGTTCCCTGTGAATTCTGTGACTCCTAATAGGCCAGTTTGTGATAAGCTTACTCTATGAGTCTTCATTTTTCTAAAATAAAGTGAACGTATTTTTATATTCTCTGTATATCTAGAAGTGGATCCTGCTCCTATTTCTTCCTTTTTTTTAGACAGAATCTCACTCTGTCACCCAGGCTGGAGTTTAATGGCACAATCTGGGCTCAGCGCAACTTCCACCTCCTGGATTCAAGCAATTCTCCTGCCTCAGCCTCCCGAGTAGCTGAGATTACAGGTGCCCACCACCCACGTCCGGCTAATTTTTTGTATTTCTAGTAGAGATGGGGTTTCACCATGTTGGCCAAGCTGGTCTCGAACTCCTGACCGCAGGTGATCCACCCCCGCTTCGGCCTCCCAAAGTGCTGGGATTACAGGTGTGAGCCACTGCACCCAGCCCCTGCTCCAATTTCTTTTTCCCTTTTTTGTTTTTTGAGACAGAGTCTCGCTGTGTCACCCAGGCTGGAGTGCAGTGGCACGATCTCAGCTCACTGCAAGCTCCGCCTCCCGGGTTCACGCCATTCTCCTGCCTCAGCCTCCCGAGTAGCTGGGACTACAGGTGCCCGCCACCACGCCCGTCTAATTTTTTGTATTTTTAGTAGAGACGGGGTTTCACCGTGGTGTTAATCTCCTGACCTCGTGATCCGCCTGCCTCAGCCTCCCAAAAGTGCTGGGATTATAGGCATGAGCCACCGCGCCCGACCTTTTCTTTTTTTTTTTTTTTTGAGACAGAGTTTTGCTCTTGGTGACCAGGCTGGAGCACAATGGTGCAATCTCAGCTCACCACAACCTCCGCCTCCCAGGTTCAAGGGATTCTCCTGCCACAGCCTCCCGAGTAGCTGGGATTACAGGCATGCACCACTATGTCTGGCTAATTTTGTATTTTTAGTAGAGATAGGGTTTCTCCATGTTGGTCAGGTTGGTCTTGAACTCTTGACCTCTGGTGATCCACCCGCCTCGGCCTCCCAAAGTGCTGGGATTACAGGTGTGAGCCACCACGCCCGGCCCCCTGCTCCAATTTCTAACAAATTTGGAGTAAATCTCTAATTCCAGGCAGGTAGCCAGGATGGGCCTCCTAGGCAGGGGCCTGAATAGGCCCTAGGGCCTTGAGATTCTGGCTCATCAGGCTGTGACTGCTCCCCTTGATGGCATTAGACAAGGACAGGCTGCCTTTCCCCAGGTCTCATGTATCATTGGAAGGTCCAGATGAAAGTTAAGTGTAGCTTAATTCACAGTAAGTGAGGCTATTAAGCTAGGATCTAGGCAGATTCTTATTTATATCCTAAACTTGAATGTCCTTTACTGGCAAAAGAATGGAGCCTCCTGGAAACACACCAGCTTCTTGTTTGCTCTCCCTGTGAGACGTGAAGGCCCTTTGGTGGTGTTCATCTCCCCTAGTCACCTCAGCCAGAGCTGCTGGAACACCTAGTCACACTCCAACTTACATCACTGGGGTTGTCCATGCTCTCCTCATCTCCCATTAGACTTGGGGGCGAGCGTCAGGATCCGGTAAACCTCTGCAGTACCCTAGTGTTGTGACCTGTGTGTAGCAGAGCATTTAGTTTATTTATTCCGAAGATATTTGGGTGCAAGATGGTGTTCATTGAAGGAATAACAAAGACACGTTTAACAGATTTGGTGTAAGGCCTCCCTTTTTTTTGCAGTCTTTAACTCTGGTAATCAGAACCAATTCAATTCCTTCTGAGTTTTGAGGAAACTTCCCTCCCTGAAGGCCAGGCCATGACTTGAGAAGTGAGTGGTAAGTGGGCAAGAGAAGTGGGACTGCCAGCTGGTGCCCTGACCGATGCCTCTTTGGCCATAAATGCCTGACTTAGGCACCAAAGTGTCCTTGCCCTGTCCCTGGAGCCAGGGGCCCACCACTGCTTTCCCCTTTTTGCGGCTGATTCCAAGGTTCACCTGGCACATTCACCTACTTCAGTGACAGTGCCTAGACATGCACCTTTCCCTGAGCTCTGCAGCAACTCCTGCAGCCTCTGGGATTCCAGGAATCAGTGGGAGGGAAGGGGTATGCAGACAGACACGGAGTATTCGGCTCTGGAGAAATTTGGTGTAAGGCAAGAAACCTCAAGTGTGCTTCCCAGCTGCGCCCTGCACTGGTGTCTAGTGAGCAGGGCCTGTTGGTGGCTCCCAGGCCAATAGAAGCACTGGAAGGTCAGCAGGCTTAGGTACACACCTGGGTGAGGCTGGAAGGTGACATGTTTGTGTGGGTTGGGTGTGAGCCATGTCCGGGGTAGGTCGTTAGAGGCAAAACAAGCTGCAGACCCATGTGTTGTTGCCACCTGGCGGCTGGAGAGGGCATGGCACATCCTGTTCGCCCTCTTGGTCAGCCTTGAGTTTTGTCCCCACCCCACCTCCTCCCACTCCAAACCTGCTTCAGCAGCACTTTCAGTAGGCAGTGCCAGTCAGGGAGGAGGCCCTCCTGCCACGGCTGCCCTTCTTGCTCAGCCACCTGCCTGTCTCCTTCCCTTTGGGCCTGGCTTTCGACTTTTTCTGTCTATGCACTCTTCCACTGCACCCAGTAGCAACAACACAGAAAGCCAGTGTTTACTGGCCTCTTACTATGTACTATGAACTGTTCCAAGCACTCTACATGTGTTAACTCACTTAATCCTCACAAAAGCTCAATTAGGTGGATGCTTTTATCATCATCCTCATTTTGTGGGCAGAGAAACTTAAGGCTCAGAAAGATTAAGTCACTCAGTCTGGTTCCAGGGTTTGTGTCTTTTTTTTTTTTTTTTTTGAGACAAGGTCTGGCTCTGTTACCCAGGCTGGAGTGCAGTGGTGCGATCTTGGCTCACTGCAAGCTCCGCCTCCCGGGTTCACACCATTCTCCTGCCTCAGCCTCTGGAGTAGCTGGGACTACAGGCGCCCGCCACCACGCCCAGCTAATTCTTTTGTATTTTTAGTAGAGACGGAGTTTCACCATGTTGGCCAGGCTGGTCTCAAACTCCTGATCTCTCAGGTGATCTGTCTGCCTCGGCCTCCCATAGTGCTGGGATCACAGGCGTAAACCACCACTCCCGGCCGTCTTTCTAGTTTATTGACTGGAACTTTGGCAAACACAAAACCTGGAACTAGGCCGGATGCGGCAACTCACATCTGTGACCCCAGCACCTTGGGAGGCCAAGGCGGGAGGATGACTTGAGCCTAGGAATTCGAGACCAGCCTGATCAACACAGTGAGACCCCTGTCTCTATTAAATTTAAAAAGTATGTATTTTTAAATATATATCTCATATATATATATATGAAACTTAGGACGAGAAGTAATGTTGCAGAGCACACACTTGGCTTCAGTATGAGTAGCTGCTTCATTTTCCAATGGGGAAAAAAACAAAAAACAACCCTGAGCAGTGTAGCTAGGAGGCACTGAGTCACTGAGCACCATTCAATTCCCACCAGCCTCTCAATGCAGCCCTCCCTGCCTCTTGAATGCTGCCCCAGAAAACTCAGCCCTGTCTAGGACTCAGCCCTGAGGGGCTGGGCTGGAAGGCTGCCGGCCCTGTGCAGCCTCTCCCACCACAGAAGTCCTTTCTGTCCTGGTGAAAAGGACACTTTCCTGCCTGCCCGCCAGGTCTTCCTTGGAAATGCCAGGAAATGGGCTCTGCGCTGATCCGGCTACTTGGGAGCAGTGTCATGGACATAGACCGAGGGACAGGCTTATCAACCAGTGGTGTCTGAGTCTCCTGACCTCCCACTGGGGACTTCTGGGCCCTGCCAGCTCTTTTGTTTTCCAGAGACCAGGCCTTCCTCCCTGTGGGAGGACAGGGTGCCACACAGAAGCAGACAGTGACAGTGCTGTACCCGCACAGAACTAGTTTATTCAGTAGTATGGGGCATGAAAAAACAACAACAACAAAATGCTACCATATTTACAGCAACAACCGAACTGTACAATCTGATGGTTAGTATCAAGTTAGCATCCAGCATCTTTGTATTTTTTTAAATCAAGTCATCAGTAGTAAAAACCAGTTAAATTTTTAACCCTTTACAGGAATTGCTGAGGGGAGAAGACAGGGGGAGAATCCATGGCAGAAAAGCCAGAGGCCGGCCTCACAAATGAGAAACAGGAGCCTTTCTTTCCTGCCCACAGCCTCTTTTTCTAGCCACCTGCTCCAGAAGGAAAGTCAGTGACAAGTCTGGAATACATGCTTGGAGTAAATGGTGACTCAGATGAAAAGCAGTCGGCAAAACTGAGGAGAGGGGAGGAGAAGTGGGGAGATGGCGGCCTGGGGCCAGGGGGAAGGGCGCCGAGCCCCCAAGCCAGGGCTGCTGGGAACACACCCAGCCTGTGATGGCCATATCAGACCCCCGGGACTGGACACAAACCCATCCCAACACAAAAAGCAAATAAATAAAACAAATATATTAACTCTCTCTTCACAGGGAGTTGGGGTGGAGTCGGGGAGAAAGAGGAACAGGACCTAGTCCTTTGAAGAAGAGAGCCAATTCCAAGAAGGGGTTAAAAATAGAACATGTCTCAGAGGCCACAGCAGGTTAGACAAAGTAGCATTTGTCTGATTTTGGGGGCGGGTGGGTGAGTGGACACCAGAACCCAGACTTGAAACCTGTGCTTGAGCACCCTCAGGGCAGCCGAGCCAGCACTGTGTTTACTCTTCCTCCCCCACCCACACCACAGCAAAGAAGCGCAACTTAACACATGACTGGCCTGCCCCAGGTGCGGGGCGGGCAGGAAAAATGAAGCACTTTTGGGTCAGCAACTGAGCAAACACCTGGGCTGCCGTGCACGGCCAGAGTCCAGGAAAAGGAGAGGGGCTGGGGCTGCCCGACCCCCGTCTGGGGGCACAGGCTCCCCTGAAAATGTGTTCATGCAGCATTTGGGGGTCCGGGGGCACTGAGTCCTTCTGCCCCCTCGCCAGACAGGGCTTTTCCAGTTCCTGGGAGAGGCAGCGCGGGCAGGGCGAGGCGCACCCTTTGCCCTGGCCCCTCACCGTTCTGAGGCCTGCCCGGGTGCAGCCCGAAGGGTGTGACGCCCTGGGTGCATGTGGCTTTGTCCTTTCCTTTTGGTGATGGCGAACGAGGGGCAGGCCCCCCAGGAGTCCCTCTCCTCCCAGAGGCACAGCAGATGGGAAACTGAGGGGAGGCTGGGAAGCATCCTGGGAGGTCCTATCCTCTTTGGGAAGGGAAAGGGGAGTCAATTTCCAGCGTATAAAAAAAATGAATCCCTGAAGTCATGAAGAGTGGAGATCCTTTTTTAAATTCTTTTTTTCCTCTTTTCTGAAAAACTTTGTCTTGGAGATGTTGGCCCCAGGGGTCCAAAGTGCAGTGAGGGGAATGGTGGGGGGGGAGTTGGCACTAGATGGCCTTGGGTGGGGTGCGTACCCCTCCTGGCAAGGCCCAGGCTCCTCAGATGGACGTTTCGTCGCTGCTGCGGGCAGGCGATGGGGAGCGGGGCAGGATAAAGCACAAGACAGGAGCAGGGCATGAGTGCGGCTGGGGAAGGGAAGGGAGCCTCGGGCGTAGGAGCCACAGCCCAGGGTTAATGCAGGAAGTTAAAGAAGAGAAATCTGGAGAGGCAGGAAAGGAAAGTGGCAGAAAAGGCAGACAGAGGGTTAGTTGAAACAGAGGAGAGAGTGACAGCTTTCACCAGACGAAGGAAACAGGAAAGCACCCCCAGCTCCCCATCCTCCCGCACTCTGCCCTAGGCTGGGCTACACCGCGTAGCGCCCAGGAGGGGTGGCCCGCCCCGCAAGGCACCATGGTTTGTGGGCACGGCATAGTAAGGGAGCTGGGCCAGTTCACCCATTTGTCCTCCTAAAGCCAACCAGAGTCGTCTGGGGAGGCCCGGAGGCAGCTCTGGGCCCAGGTGGGGCCTCCGCAGGGCTGCACCCCGTCCCGCCCACCCGGCCACACTCACTCGGAGCCTGATGAGTCCTCATCCACCGTGCCTGCCTTGATGCTCATGGCGATGGGCATGACCCCGTTCAGCTGCTCCTGGAGGCTCTGCCGGGGCGGTGGGCGGGGAGGGGGGCCGCCCCGGCTGCCCTCACTGGCAGAGGATCCCCGGGAAGACCCAGTGCATTGCTCCAGGGGGAGCCGCAGGAGGCTGCTCTTCTCGCTGATGGTGGGCAGACACTTCTTCTTAAGGATGCCTGCGGGCCGGGGCGGGGCTGTGAGGTGCAGCCACAGGAGAATGTGAGGTGTGAGGCTGCTGACGAGGGGAGCGCGGCAGCTGGGGGTGCCCCACTCACCTTTGTGAGGCTGGGCAGAAGAGCCTGGAAGGGGGCCCAGGGACCCCTCTCGAGACAGGGCATCTCCATTCTCCCGCAGCCGCTCCTCAGGGGCCCCATTGCCACTACTCTCCTTTGCTGTGGTCCCAAAGTCTCCTGGCCAGGGGGCCTTCCCAGGCCCTGGGCCCCCATCTGGTGGGGAAAGGAAGTAGATGAGGCCCACAGAGGGCAGATAGCCAGGAGGCCACCACCCTAGTCCTGCTTCCCAAGAACTCCAGGCCCATTCTCCTCCCACCAGCCCCAAAGGCTACAGCCCTGGTGTTGGCCCACCCTTGGGGGTACTGTGCAGGGGCAGTCTCTCGGCTCCAGGCCCCAGCAGGCTATCCCAGCCCTGCTCTCCAGGGAAGGCAGCCTCCTCTTCCTCCTCCTCTTCTTCCTCCTCACTGTCTGATGAGTGGGTAGAGGCATAGGAGCCACTCTGGTCATCTTCTAAGGACAGGTCACTGTCGGAGTCTGTGTCAGGATCTAGGAGGCCAGGGAGAGATCACAGCCAGCCCAGCCACCTCCACCCACCTTCAGTGAAAGCCAGCCAACTGCCCCACTGGGGAGCCGGAGTCTTGCCATCCTCACCATGCTGCTGGTCTTGACCCTCCAGGAACAGGCTGCCTGGATCCCCCAGGCCAGGGGGCCCTTGGCCAGGGTTCAGTGTGGACTCCTCCCTAGGAAGACGAGACCATGCTGGGGGTCAGCCTGGCTCCTTGCCCAGGGTCCCCGTCTCTCCTCTCCCCTGGGATCCTGGTTCCAGCCGTGGGTCCCTTACAGCTTCTAATCCAAGCTGGCCCACATGTCAGCCACAGTGTGTGCTCCTCAACTCCCAACGGCTGGCTGGCCAGGGTCCAGCATGCATGGGCCCCTCCTCCCCTCCTCCACCCTCCCATTTCCAGGATTCACCTCAGCAAGAAGGGGATGTAGCTGGGCTGACTCTTGCCCGAGCGGCTGGCGCTGTGCAGAGAGCCAGCTGAGTCTCCGTAGGGCTGGTACAGCCGCCCATCTGTGTAGGGGCTGGGGCAGTTGTAGGACTAGGTAGGGAACAGAGAGGTCAGTAAGTAGGGGAGTGGGATGGCTGGCCCCAGGCTGGGAAGTAGGAGGGTGGAGGGAACTTGCCCTAAGTTTCACCTTCCACATGCTCAGGTCTGAAAGAGGGGGCCCTGCTTCTCTGCTGCCCCCGTATTGAGGCCTGGCAGTGGTCATAGCTCTGCCACAGCTGTGCCACCCCTGCATGCCCCCAGGGATCCTGGACTCACTATATAATGGCTCTGTAAAAGATAGGACCAGAAATTGTCTCCTGAGAGCACCTTGGGAGACAGAAAATTTACTAAAATTCATGAGAGATTCTCAGGTGTAAGGCACTTTATTACCTGATTATCTGTCTCAGACCCATCTCCCTCAAGTCAAAATCCTACACACCCTTTCCAACATCTCCTCCCCAGGCCAAACATACCATTTCACCCCCTCTTCCACCTTCCAGGAACAGATGGAGAAAAGGGAAAGGGGAGTGGGCCAAAAGTACAGGCTCACTGGGCCGCCTACCTCTCCCTCCCTTCACCACCCGCCTAAGACCCCTGGCTCCCTCACCGAGGTCAGGGTGGACTTGGTGGTCAGAGCAGGGTCAGGGCTGGGCTTGCGGCTGCAGGCAAGCTTGAGTGCTTTCCGGACCTCCTTGCTAAGCACCACATAGGAGAGGAAGATGAAGGGGCCCTGGCAGGCAAGAGGCAGCAACGGTCTGTGCATATTCAGGTACCCACAGCCCAGGTACCTCCCTTCTCCACAGGCTGGGCCAGTTACCTGGATGCAATTGCAGGCAGCAAAGAGGTAGTGGAAGAGGAGGGTGTCGCTGTTGACAGAGAGCAGTGCCAGCAGCCATGTGGCACTCAGCAGCAGGAGGACGGCGAAGGAGGGCTGCAGACCCGAGCTAAGGATAGGGACAGGCCATGAGTCTGGCCATAAGGCCTCCCATGCTGGTGCTTGCCCACGGCCCAGGCACCCCAACCCTATACTCACACAGGACCTTTCTTCTCAAAGCCCTGCCGCTGGGCAGCACAGGAGGCCCGGGCTGCCAGGATGTACAGGAAGACACTCATCTAGGCAGGGGCAGAGGACATGGGGTGCTCAGTGGGGACAAACAGCTTCTACCCAGCCCACAAGGCCCCGTGGCCTCAGCTGTTCCTAAAGGGAGTCCTGAGGACACATGGCCCCAGTAGCAGGAGGACAGCAAAGGAAGGCCACAGGTGACACCCAACCCACCTGCTAGCACTCACCGAGACGGCAAAGGCCACTGGGCCAGCAAAACTCCAGATGAGCGTGTCATAGATGGAGAGCCAGCAGAAGTCAGGGTTCCCATAGCCCTCGGGGTCCAGGCCCACGGCTAGCCCTGGAGCATGGAGACAGACGGGAGCAGGCGAGGGGTGGTGAGGGGCCTGGGAAGTAGGGCTGCAAGCAGGTGGGCTCACAGGTCCAGGCACAAAGCATGGAAAGGGTTCTGCCCACTATCGGCCCTTGTGTCCTCCCCAGGATAGGGAAGCAACACCTGGGTGGCGGCCTCAGAGTCTGGGTTAAAGCAGAGGGACACCTGTGAATAAGCTGGTCTGGGGCATGGGGATGTGGGGCCTCAGGGCCTGTATGTGGGTGGGGAGAAGAGGGAACAAAGGTGGACCTAAGGATGTGGGACCCCCAGGCCAGGAATGGGTGGGGGTACCTGTGATGAAGGCAGGCACGCCCCAGCCTAGCATGTAGTAGAAGCGCATGGGGCCGGCGTTGACGTCGCGCACCTCAGTGAGTGCCCGGTACAGGTGCAAGGCCTCCAGCAGAGCCCAGGAAAAGGTGCAGAGGTACAGGAAGTGCAGCAGGATGGCAATGACTGTGCAGGCAAACTGAGGGCCCAGGCCAGGGCAGGTCAGTGACCGGGGCCCACCCAGAGGACAGGCTCTGCTTTGGGTCAGGCAGGGAGGAGGGCCTGGGTGTTGGGAACTGCTTCCGGGGAAGCCTGGGCCAGAGGCAGATGCCCGTAGGATGCTGGGGGATCCCGGGGGACCTGGAGAAGAGGAAATCCTGGGCCAGGCGCTGCACTAGGCACCTTATTAGAGTTCATGGTGAAGGAGCAGGGGTTGCCAGTGGGGGCTGGGGAGGTAGCCTGAGAAGGTGGGGACAGTCTCTGGGCAGTAGCAGCATCTTACAGGGAGGTCAGCCTGGTTGATTCCCAGGAGAAAGACTAGCTGAGCCAGGCCCAGGGCGGCTGTCAGGTTCCGTCGGATGCCGTGTTGGTTGGAGCGCAGGATACGCAAGAGAGTGAGGAAGAAGAAGGTGAGCAGAAGGGCAGCCAAGGTGACACCTAGAGCCACGTATGTCAGTGTCTTCAGTGGCAGGATCTCCCCATTCTGCAGAGTGGGTGGCAGGGGGCCAGGGAATTAGGAAGAGCAGGACCTGAGCACCCAGCCCCATGCCCTGAGTGCCCACCCACGGCTCTGCATCTGCCCCTGGGGGCCCGACCTCCCGCCGAGACACATCCATGAGCACAGCGAAGCTCGTCATGTGGTTGCACTGGCAGCTGACATGGCTCTCGTTGCGGAAGACGACTTCACAGCCTCTGGCCGACCAGCCACCTGTGCCACTGACCCTGTGTGAGGAAGGCAGAGTCAGGAAGACAAGGAGGGTGAGGCATGCAGGGGCCTGGGCTTTCACCCCAAGGCCTTGGGGGCTGGGGGGCGAGGGTAGTGAAGGCTCACAAGATCGAATGGTTCCAGAAGACACAGATGGGCTTGGTTCGCTCCTCTGTCTCCAGCAGGCGGAACTGCACCGTGATGGGCTTGTCCAGGGCCCGGGGCAGAAGCTCCTCATCGTCATGGACACTGATGCTCACCACAGGCGTGTTGATGATCGGGCGTTTGGGGACTCTGATGTAGGGCAGGCAGGTGCACAGTCACCACAGCAGTCACATGACTGGGGAGACGCCCCCGACCCCCTCCATGCCTCAGCACTCACCGCCTGACCCACACCCCACCCACACCTGTCCCCTAGCCACTGACCTCAGGCTGCGCTTGTCAGGGTCATAGTTATGGGGCAGGAGCCCGGCCAGGGTGCGGTAGATGATGACGCTGGCCACAGCCTCACCCTGGCTCAGCTCCGGGTGCCGTCGCTGTCGCCGTGCTAGCTCCTCTGGCTCCTGGGACTCTCCGGGGCCTGCGGGCCTGACCACGGGGGGCGTCTCTGGGAGGGGACACTGTCACACTTAGCTGGGCCCTGCCCTCTGTGGGGTCTGCACAGACACTGGGGTCCAGCTCCCAACTCAATCCATGGCCACCACTGACCTCTGAAGACAGACTCAGGCAGAATGACCGTTGTCTCAAGGTCCGGGGGCCGCTCCCCACGCAGGGCCTCGTAGCGGGGCAGCTTGGCCCCAGCAAAGTTCCCCTTGTCCAAGCGCACTACAGAGATGACTAAGGAAGGAGATGGTCACAGATAGGACCTGTGAGGCAGGCAGGACCCCAGCACAGCCGCCCTTCCTTGTCGGGGACTCCCTCCACAAACCCCTGTTGGCACCAGCCTCACCAATGTTGGGTGTGACGATGGTGAAGGGGCTTAGGTAGGTGTGCCGCATGTTCTGGGCCAGGGCGCTGGCATAGGCCTCATAGTGCTGGAGCAGCCAGGCGGTGCCACCCTCTGTCTGCTGGATCAGCTCCCAGTGCCGCTTGTTGGCTGCGTCCAGGAGGGCGCTGCCCACCCGCAGCAGATTCTGGGGTGGGCAAGGTCACGGTGGGTGTGCTCACAGCCTACACCTGACATCCCCGCCACAGAGCCCCGGCCTGTGCCCGGGCCAGCCCCCGCTTCCCGGCAGCCCCCTCCCTCTGCGCTCACCATTGCCTCCCCTGAAATGCTCCTGGACTGCACTGCCCACTCAGGTCACCGGATGCTCTGCCCCTTCGCCCTCCTCCTCATTCTCTACATAAGAGCTTCCCAGCTCTGTGCCTGGACCCACACAGATGTCTTGAGATACTGCTTCCTCCCAGCCCGTGGTACCACAGGCAGGCCTCTGTTCTGGGTCAGACCATGCCCCAGCACACACACCTTACTATGAGAAGGGTTGGGAAGAGGGCTGGGCCAAGGGTCACGGGTTTCACGGAGGCCTCCTGCCAGCAGGGAGCACCTCATAGGTGGGATGGGAAGGCCCCCTCTGCCCTCCAGGTTGCCATGAGCAGGCTCACTCACCATGACCCCCATCTAACCAGCCAGCCCTGCAACCTCCAAGCCCCACCTCAGTGAAGTGCACGTCCTGCGTGGCAGACAGCCCGAAGCCCCGCTGGGCACTCTCGTGGGCCAGCAGCCGTGTGGCCAGCTGGTAGGCCACCTTGACGTCGCTGCCGAAGTAGCCAACTGTGTGCTGCGTGGCATTGCGCAGGAGCAGGGCCAGCCGCTGGGAGCGCCCTGAGTCTAGGCCTGACTCATTCCGCTGTAGCCGCTCGGCCTAGACAGGAGGGAGTGGAGGAGCAGGAGTGAGGGCAGGAACTCTGGAGCAAAAGGACCTCAGGAGGGGAGAGATGGCCTTTCTAGCTGGGAGACCAGGAACACACAGGCTGGAATTCCAGAATCCCGTTTCTCAAAGATGGGAGTAGGGGCAAGTGAGACTCAGCATGAAGGAGAGGGAAAAGATGGCGACGAGGCGGTTCACTTACGAAGCCCTTCAGTTCTGAGAAGGTGATGGACGTGCAGTTGAAGAGGTTTGGGGGGAGCCACCCCCTGTGCTCATCACAGTGGCGCACAGCAGTCCCTGCGGGAAGGAAGCCAAAAGGGCTGCCCTCAGGGAGACACACAGGAAGCCCCTGAGGACTGGCTGACAGGTTCTGCTGGAGGCCAGCACCTCATGGGCCAGGGACAGCAACTAGCAAACAAGAGCTCTGGTGAAACAGGAAGACAGGTATGTGGAACACCAGGGCCAAAAATCTCTGCAAGATGGGTCCACACGGGGCTCTGGGGGAACAGGGCATGTGACCTCCTTGAGCCCTCATCCTGCCTGTCTCCAGTCACCACTCTGTGCTCTCCACCACTTCCTGCCTATGAACCTACTCATCGTCAGTCCAGGACCAGCACCATCCCCCATACTGGGCTGGGTCTCCCGGGTCAGCAGCCAACACCCCTACTCCCCAGACTGTCTGCCTTTGTGGTGGCATAACTCCAGGACTCGGTGGTGAGCTGACGATGGGAACCCTGCATGATTCATCTTTGAATCTCTAGCACAGCCCTATGCCGAGCACTGTGCAGGTTTTTCAGCATTTTTGTTAAGAGTCCAAGATGTGGGACGGATGCAGTGGCTCATGCCTGTAATCCCAGCACTTTCAGAGGCTGAGGCAGGCTGATCACGAGGTCAAGAGATTTGAGACCATCCTGGCCAACACGGTGAAACCCTGTCTCTACTTAAAAAAATACAAAAAATTAGCTGGGCATGGTAGCACACACCTGGAGTCCCAGCTACTCGGAAGGCTGAGGCAGAAGAATCACTTGAACCTGTGAGGTGGAGGTTGCAGAGAGCCGAGATCACGCCACTGCACTGCAGCCTGATGACAGAGTGAGACTCCATCTCAAAAAAAAAAAAAAAAAAATGGAGTCCAAGATGTGGCGGGGCGCAGTGGCTCACGCCTGTAATCCCAGCACTCTGGGAGGCCGAGGCAGGCGGATCATGAGGTCAGGAGTTCGAGACCAGACTGGCCAACATGGTGAAACTCTGTCTCTACTAAAAATACCAAAAAGAAAAAAGAAAAACAACAACAACAACAACAACAAAATAGCCAGGTGTGACAGCAGCCAGAGGCTGAGGCAGGAAAATTGCTTGAACCTGGGAGGCGGAGGTGGTAGTGAGCAGAGATCGCACCACTGCACACCAGCCTGGGTGACAATGCGAGACTCTGTCTCAGAAAAAAGAAAAAAAAAGAGTCTAAGATGTAGGCACAATTGGGCAACAGGGGAAGGGGGACCGTGAGCCAAGGAAGATGCGAAATGAAATCCCAGGACCTGGAGGCCAGAAAGCAGAGTCCCCGGATCTTCAGCCAGGGGCTTCCTGCCCTCATCCCACTAACAGCAGAGGCCATGTCCTCAATATCACACTGGGGCCTCCAACACCTACCAAAGGAGCCTTTGGGACAGGGAGCAGCAGCGGGCAGCCCAAAGCGGGTACGGGGCCACCAGATCCCAGCTTCAATCGCTCGTGGGCAGCTGTCGTAATTCACTGCGGGGAAGAGCACATGGTCACCCAGGAGCAGCTCTCCCTCTGCGGTCCTGCCCAGGATCCCCAGCCCTCCCTAGGATCTCCCCAGGACTGCAACCACCCCTTCCTGGCTTCCCTGGGGTGCAGGTGCCCAGCACACTGTGAAGAGGGCTGCCCACCCGTCCCAGGAGCCACACCTTCACAGCCATTGGTGGTGACCTCAGCAAAAGGGTTGTCACAGCGGTCACACTGACGCCCGATGACACCTGGCTTGCATGCACACTGGCCGTCCTCAGGGTCACAGACGCGGGACAAGGAGCCTGTGGGGTAGCAGTCACACAAGAGGCAGGTGGGGCTGCCTGGGGGCCGGTAGTGGTTCTCCTGAGAAATGAGGGAGGAAGGGTGTCACTGGCCAGGCTCTCTTCCCAGGATGCTCATGGGTCCTCTCAGCTGTGGCCCCTCTGGAGGGGGTCCCGACCTCAGGTCCCCTCAGGAGCAGCATTCAAAATAATTAACACTAGCAATGCTTTGGAGTTGAGCCCATCAGTGAGATGTCACACAATCAGAACAGGCTGCAAACCACCACCACACCAGGCCCAGAGCCCATGGGTTACACATTGGCCCAGGGTCTGCACCTCAGCCACATGAAGGTAAGCGGTCAACAGCTCCGCCTATGAGGGCAAAGGCACAAGGCCCTCGACTTTGCAGGAAGACCCATCTCTATAGCCTCCCCCTAGGGCCGAGGAGATGTGGACAGAGGCCCAAGTGGCCACAGTGGGGGCTTGTTTGGGGCTGTCACCTTGCAGTGGCACTCGCCGCTTGTCTTGTTGCAGTCTGGGTCAAAGCCTTTGCTGACATCACAGTTGCATGGGCCACATGTGGGATGTCCCCACCAGCCACGGGGACAAGGCTGGTCAATTCTGCAGAGAGGGATCCAGGCAGGCATGAGCTCCCCCTGCCACTCCCACCTAACCTAGGTGAGCCCTGTGTGGCCCTTCTGACCCTGGTTGTGGATCAGCCAGGCTTTCAGGGCTCTGAGGGACACACAAAGAGGAGTAGCAGCCACTGGGACCTGCTGCCACATGCCCTGGTCTGCTTACCTGGTCTCACAGTACGGCCCAAGGTAATTTGGAGGACACTCGCAGGTATAGCCATGGGGGGCACTGGGCTTGCGGGTACACACGGACTGGTGCTCACACGGGTTCAGGTCACACACATTAGTACAGTTGTCACCATAGTAACCTGGGACCAGAAGGACCAGAGAGGCTCATTCCCCCACCCTCCCCTCGCACTGTCTTCCATGAAACCCACCTTCATCTATTTCTTCCCACGTAGCATCCTATCAGCTGGCTTTGCTGTGTCGACGACTAAGGCTCAGAGAAGTGATGTGATGCCCCATGCCCCAAGTCACACAGCAGAGCCAGCATGTGGCCCCAGGCACCTGATAACCTGCCTGTTGCCCTGGATCCTTAGCATACCTGGATCACAGCTGCAGGAATAGCTGTCCCAGTCATTGCTGCAATAGCTGTTGGCAGGACACGGGTTTGAGTCACAAGGGTCAGGCAGGCTACAGCCTTGCTCAACGTTGATGCTCTCCCCACGGCTGGGATCCAGGCTGTTAGCCCCCTCCGGCGTATCGCTCACCCGCACACCCTGGGAGGGACAGGAGCAGTGTTGCCCTCAGTGGAGCAGAGCTGAAGTGGTAGGGAAGATGGGAGGGCAGGGCAGGACACTCACCTGCAAACAGCCCCGAAAGCCACGGGCCACACCGCCGGCTGGCCCAGGTATTCCGCCCACTGTTATGTTGCTCAGGTGCAGACCATGCAGCCGGGGGCCCAGGTTGCCCTCTGCTCTCTGCTGCCCATAATCGAAGGACAGAATGGCATGGCCGGGCCCCCCACTGGCTCCCAGTGCCAGCTGTGCATGGTGCCAGTCACCGTCATTGGCCCGACCTGGCTCCAGACGGAGAGAGGAGGCCTGGAGCCCTGTGCCCTCTACGCTCAGCACCACGTGGCCCTCCCGTAGCTGACACCAGGAGGAAAGAAAGCAGCGTCAGCAAACGGCCTTCATCACTCTTCTCCAGTGCACAGTTCCCCTTTCTGGACCACCAAACCCATCCTGCTGCCCAGCTCAGGCCACAGAGAGGAAAGTGTATTTATTTCCTTCAGGCCCAATAGGTGGCAGCATTGACCTTCCCAATGGATCCAGTGGCCTCTATCTGTCCCCACCCCTGCCCAGGACCTGCCCAGCCACTTCTGTCCAGCCCCCTAGAGGCTACCAGGGCCCTACGGCCAGGCCAGGGCCAGCCGGCTCTTCCCTGCATCACCTGTAGGGTGATGGTGCTTCGCCCCCTGGTGACGGCCTGCAGCAGGACACCGTCGGCCTGGCGAGTGCGGAACATGAGGTTGAGGTGCCAGGGTTGGGAGATGGGCAGCGAGAGGCCATGCCAGGCCACCAGGCTGCTGCCCAGGAAGTGCTGTGGATTGGCCATTTCTGGGGAGACAGGAAAAGGCAGACTGTGACGGGTGGAGCCGTGGAGGGCCCTGGGGGTGTGATGCTCAGCGGTGGCGGCTGCATGGGAGGCAGAGCCCACTCCCCTCATCAGCCCCGCCCTCCAAAGTTCGTACCTGCCCTGGGCCCGCCCCACGCTGTGCCCAGGCCTGCCTCTGACTGGCCCCTTTGTCTCCTGTGTTGCCCTCTCAGGGCTCTGCCCAGACACGCTTTTCCACCCACAGCCCGGCTCAGCGGAGGCCTGCCCAGCGCCTGCCCCAACCCTGCCAATTCCCAGGCTGTTGATAGCACCCAGGCCTCAGCCTCTAACAGCCGCCCCTCCTACCCTGGGCGCAGCTCTTGCCCCCGAAGCCCAGGGGGCACTCGCAGCTGAACGCGTCCCACTGGTTCACGCAGGTGCCCCCATTGTGGCAAGTGTTGCTGTCACACACGTTCTTCTTGGCAGGGCAGCCTGGAATGGAGAGAAGGCCTCTCAGTGGACCTGAGCCGGGGCTGTAAAGAGGAATCCTGTGGCAGCAGCTAGAGAGGCCTCTGAAACCCTGCATTCTGGCATCCTCACACCAGGCACAGCCCCTCCCCTCAGCACTGGGATCCCAGCCTGACTCCACCCCGGGCGCCCATACCAGGCACAGTGCCATTGTTGGCAATGAAGTCAGCCATGTCTATGTGCCGGCTGTCCACCTGCAGGTTCCGCATGCAGCCCACGAAGTGCCGCATTCGGACTGGGAAGTTCTCAGGCAGGTCAGGCACTCCGCCTAGTAGCAGGGGCCCCGTCAGATCCAGAGACCTGGGGGAGAAAAGATGGTGGCAGCACAAGGCAGGGCTGGGAGCGACCGGTCCTCCGCTTGCTCTGCCACCAGGCCGGAGACAGGAAGGGCCTAGGCAGGTGTCCAAGGGGCCCTGCAGAGCAGTGCTCAGGAAGGGGGTCACCCCCACCTGGAACTGTTCTTGTCCAACACTTGGCCCCCTCCCCAGACTGCCCCACAGGGCCTTGCTCTGATTCCCCAGTCTTGACCCCATCCCCAGGGCTGAGCAGGGGCTAAGGGAGGCAAAGGGAGGGAGCCCCCAGAAGCCCACCCTCTCCACCTTCCCTCCCTGTCTGGCTCTGCCCTCACTTCACCCCATCCCTGGCCCTTTTCCCTGCTCACTTCTTGCTGCCACCCTGGGTGCCCTGGGCAGCACAGGAGTAGTTGCCCAGGACAGATCCGAAGCGCAAGGCCACCCCTGTGTCACAGCCATCCACGGTCACCACGGCCACCTTCTGCTCTGATGGGCCCTGCGGGAGCCCTGTCTGACCCAACAGTGGCTGTGGACAGGAAAGAGCAAAGAAGGGGGACACTTGATGCAGAGCCCACTAGGTTCATGGCCAGCACACACTGGGTGCCTCTGTGTGCACCCACATGCCCAGACACACGTACATACATGCATACACACACGTGTGCTCACATGGTTTATGCATGTAACTACCTTCCTCAGTGTCCAAGTCTGCGGCTGCCTAGTGGAACAGGGAGCATCAAGCAGTGCCCAGTGGGGTGGGAATGCCCAGCAAGGTGGTACCTTCCCAGCCGCTCCCTTCCTCTCAGCCAGAAATGCCCTGACCAGCCCACCCAAGCCTGGAGGCGGTGCCATTCAGGGCTGCGTAAGCACCTGAGGCAAGAACAGAACCCCAACCCTCTGTGCCCTCCACACCCACCTTATTGTAGTATTTCAGCTGCACTGTATGCCACTGGCCATCACTGACTCCTCCGGGCACGAATGGGGACACCGTGGTGGTTGACTCCCCTGAGGAAAGGATCAGGTGAGCTGGGATGCCAGATGAGGGCTGGGAAAGGCAGGGTTGGGGTGCCAGTGGCTGGGGCTGGGCCCAGGTTTGGCTGATTAGAGTATGTGGCTTGGGGTCGGGGGCTGGGAGACTCGGGATCTTTGGAAGATGGGCAAGGATGGGGGGCAACTGTGATCACCTGCAGAGAAGGTGAGCTGGACCTGCTCCTGGATCACCTCGAGGGCCACAAAGTCATGCTTCTCATTAAAACGCCCATTGTACAACAGCAACCCATCGCGCTCCTTTGTGGCAAACCTGAACAGGGGTTGGGGATGGGGGCAGGGAATGGGGTATCCACCTTGATGCCAGCACCCCCACCACCTAACCAGCGCAGGGGAGGGAGATCTGCTAGCAGAACCACAGGCAACTCCAAGAGCTCCTGGCTCTGCTGGCAGCCTGCTCCACGCTCTTTCGATGCCTGACCTCTTACTTCATCCACAGAACAGGAGGCACCTCAGACGCCCACCAGGCCTGCTCCCTACCCCCAGCGCCCAGCCACTCACGAGAGGGCCAGGGTGAAGTGGAAACGCTGGCGCAGGCCACGAAAGGTGATGAAGGAGTGGGCGGGGAAGCTGCGCGTGGTCACCTGGCAGTAGGGCTTCTCGAAGTCTCCAGATGGGCAATCACATTTGAAACCGCCCACCAGCAAGTTGACACAGGTGCCCCCATTCTTGCAGACACCTGGGGTGCAACGGCCTGAGCGAGCACTCACCTCACAGTGCTCACCTGGACAAGAGGAAAGGCAGGTGAGTACCAAGTACCTGAGGACGGGAGGCGAACTGAGACCCCCCACAACCCAGTGATAGCTCCCACGGCCTCCCGTGACCCTTGTAATACCCCCCAAACCTCCCAGGCACCCCCACTTCCTCTCCTGTGCCATCTTCTCTGAGATCTACGGTCCCCAGGCCTTCCTGGGCACCCTGTTTGGCTCACTGAGCCGCTCTCGCCACAGCTCCACACACTGCAAGTTCCTCGGAGTTCCCAGCCCCTTCCCTACCCCATTTGGGTTTCATAAGCACAGGCCTGCTGGGACACTTGGTTGTAAGGCTCCTGGGAGCCTTCGATGTCACACTACCAAGCATGCCTGGGGGTGTCCTGGCCCCCAAGAGGGTAAATGTGCACAGGCAGATGGGCCTGCAGGACAGTGGGTGGGCTGGGAGCCTCCCTCCTCCCTCCTTCCTACTGGTGCTTTTGTCCCTCTCAGGCATTGAGATCAGTTTCCCTCCCCGGGGATGGGACCAGGCTTCCACTTAGATTTGTCTGGGTTATGGAGGAGTAAGAGAGAGAAGCTGGGGAGCCCCCAGGAATGGGGCAGAGGCCTCCCACCTTGAGCCCTGGGGTCCAGACTGAGGACCTTTGTGCACGTGGGACATGCTGAAAGTGAGAAACTGAGCTCTGAGGGCTCAGACAATTCAACAGAGGAGCTGAAAACTCCAACATCAGATGGGAAAATCCACCCTTCTCTCCCTCCCCATTCCCAGATTCTAGAGATAGGTTCTCAGCTCCTGTGCCTAGTGACTGGCTCTTGTTTCCATGGAAACTGTTGTTCGCCTACTCTAACCCCCCCAACCCCCCCACCATCCTCCTGGACAAAGACTCCTCTCCCCTCCCCCATGCCCGCCCCTCCCCTTCCCCCCACCCCTAGCAGCAGCAAAGAGAAGTCAAGTCTGGTAAGTTCTGGGCAGGAAGATGCAGCAGGGAAGGGAGTGGGGCCTGCCTATGGCTGCTGGCAGAGCCAGTGGGCATAGCACTGGAGGACAGGGAGCAGGGCTTGGGCATCTCGGAAGGAAGGGCCTGCAGGGAAGGGAAGGGAAGCAGGGAGTGCCCTGAGAAGATGCAGGAGCCTGAAGGGAGGGGTCAGGAGCATAGAGCAGAGGCAGTGAGCATCCCAGGGAGCAAGATGTGTAAAGACCTTGGCTGACAGGCCAACAGGGAAGTCCCCTAGCCAGGACCCTCTTTTACCAGCACCTGGGCAGAGGTGGAGCCATTCTGCCCAGGCCCACACAGGTGCAATGATCTTCTGGAGCACCCCATCTCAGAACCCAACCCCTTCCAGTTCCCCCAGCACTTCTGTGTCTTCCCCTTAATGCCTGGGGAGAAAAGTACTTGCTGCAGCTCAGAAAGGGAATTCGCTCAGCGGTGTAGAGACCAGGTTCTAGGCCCAGCCTCACATCTAAACCAGCTGTGATGAGACCGGGAGCAAGTCACCCAATCTCAGCGTTCCCTTAAATCAAAGCCAACACCTTCCATGCCACCAGCTGTTTCCAAGTATCAAATTAATTACATTAATCCTCACAACCAACTTATGACCTAAGCACGGTCATTACCTCCATTTCAAATAACTGAGGGCCAGAGAGATTAAGTAATTTGTTCAAGGTCACACAGCTACTAGTGGCAACGCTGAGACACGAACCCAGGCCGACTGGCTCTGGAGTCAGCTCTACCCGCAATGACACTGCCTGTGTGTCCCGTGCGCAGCAGGGAGAAGCACTCCTTGCGCTGCCTTCCTCAGTGGAGTGCTGTCAGGGAGGAGGCCGGATTTATGACCTCCCAGTGTAGCTGCACTTCACTCGGGAAGAGAATGAGGCAGCCGCCATCATTTGTCCTGATTTGTGCCTGCACCAGAGCCTTCCAGGGCTGCCCCATGGGTCCCCTCCCTTGGCTCACCCGTGTAGCCATCACGACAGAGGCAGGTGTAGCCGCCCTCGCGGCTGCGGCAGCGCCCGTGGGGGCCACAGGGCCGCGAGTAGCAGAGGTCCACCTCCGTCTCACAGTAGTCACCCGTGAAGCCGGGCGGGCAGCGGCAGCGCAGACCCCCGACGGGGTGGATGGGCCGGAAGAGCACGGAGGAGGAGGCGATAAAGGGCGCGGAGGAGTCGAAGCGCAGCACCGACACACAGCGCATGTAGTTCTCGCAGGGCTCCCGCAGGCAGATGTTGTCGTCGAAGGGCAGCACGCGCTGCGCCGAGATGGCCGTCAGCAAGCTGCGGTT